GAGGTTGAGAAGAAGAACTAGTGAGAACGGAAGGGTCGTTTTTCAAATGGGTGCCTAAGAATGTTAACCGGCCATTAAAATTCGTCTTTCGACCCCCTACAAAGCATTTTCCCTGTTTGGTAGGAGGAATGTATCAATGATGAGGGCACGGTGCAGCGGGATCAGGGAATAGTCAAAGATCAAAGATTTGTAATGGGAATAACTTACAAGCTCATGTTTTTCTCGTCCCATATGATCGTGTTGTGGTTAAAAGACAGTTATGCATACAATTCCTTGTGTAAAATGTCACATGATACGGGCTTCTTCCACTTATGTTGGAATGTAAGGTGTGGTAATGTTTCATCGGGTCTCAGTTTGAAAAATTCAATGTTTGCAGCACTGACGACGTGGGGTGTGAGAGAGTTCCAGATCGAACACACTCTGGCTGCGAATGACTGACGCCGGCATTCTAATCGGCATTTTGAAACCACTAGTTTGAACTGATGTCCTCTAAGACGAACGTTGGATGATAATTTTAGCAGTGGGCGACATGGATGACTTGGGTTTTGCATTATTTGGTATACCATAATCAAATCTCCTCTGCGCCGGTAGTAATTGGAATATAAGCCCAGCGACTTCAATCTCGCTGCATATGAATAACGATTCAACCCCCTAACCATTTTGGTGGCCATCCTTTGTGGATGCTCCAGCATTTCGCAATCACGTTGTAGTCATGGATTCCATACCTGGATGGTGTACCCTGTGAGAGGGCGAATGTATGCTGATAGTAGACGGGGAAAAGCGCTGACTCAAACCGGCCAAAGACCCGCTTAAGCAAACCGACATTCTTCACAGCTGCGTTCGACACCTTAGCGCAATTGGGTAAGCAGCTTAAGTTTTCTGGAATGATGATGCCCAGGTCTTGCTCAGTTGAGGCGTGTGGCAGTTGTTCATTTCCGAAGAAATACGAAAGTCGCCCTTTGTGTCGTAGAGATAGAAACTTACACTTTGACGCATTGAATTCAATATCGTTCAGAAGAGACTAGAGATGAGCTGCTTTCAGCGTTTCATGGAGTGCCAGCGAGCCCGCTGGTTGCGTTACTGTATTCCAAATTTGGACGTCATCTGCCTTTNGTTAGGAAAAATCGCGGGCCAAGCACAGATCCTTGTGGAACCCTACGGGTAACGTCCATAGGACTGGAAAGCGAATCAGAAACACGAACCGATACGGTCCGATGTCGAAGAAATGCTTCGATCCAATCAAACATGAGGCCCCGAATACCGTGGTTATAGTTTCCGCAGTAGCATGTCGTGGTTCACCCGATCGAACGCTTTTGAGAAGTCTAGATAAATAACATCTACCGCGTCGCCGCCATCAACTGCTTTTGTTTATTCTTCTCGCGCGATCAGCAAATTGGTAGCGCAAGATCGCTTCTGTCGAAATTCATATTGATTCNGGGTTACAGGGCAGTAGTTAGCGGGATCGCTACGGCAACCGCTTTTGTAAATGGATGAAATTACTCTCTGCATACAGAACGGTGGGATTGCAGTGTGATTGAACATCCTCTGGAATAGGAAGGGTAGTTGTTCGGATATTTGATTTGCCATTTGTCACATGAACAAATATCATTCCGTCTACAATGGCTGGAGCAACGCTCAACTCTCTGTGCCTTGTTCGCGAACGCTGATCCAAAATTTGAGAAAGAACTTTGGGGAAAGACAAAAAACCCGGTCTCGAGAAATGAAGAACCTCATTAAAATCTATCACGCGCTACATGTTTGAGGCTGTTATAACCGCACGTAGTCGTACTGGTACTGTTTTCTCAAATGGTGGTCTTTCGATAACGTTTCTCATCCACATGACAATTCCACAGGAAGGGAAATAGAACACAGTCGGAAGCGTGAAGGACTACATTTTTATGCAAAAGGCATGATTATGGGAAGATCAGGTAAAAGAGACACGGGATTGAATATACAAAATAATTAGTTAGCTGGACTGTTATTAATCGGTTTGATTGGTTACCCCAGTATGAAGCAGTTATTAAGTAAGCTAACTCCCTGACAGGCGCGGCCATAATCCTGATAATTTGTGACTGGTTATGCTACAAGATGAACGGACGTTCAAACTGAATACTAAACTGGAATGTGGCATAAATTTTAAATTGGGATATTCCAGTTCAGTTTCAGTTTCTACAACCATTAAACATGCATTTTTCATACGCCGGTTTCGGTCGCTATCTGTTAGCTGCCCATTTTGATAAAAGATAATATAAATTGGAATGTTGAGAGCAGAGTCAAAGACATACAATTCGCATAGACTGGGGTTGCAAAGATGACGAGCAGATGCACAAGTGCTACTGTTTGCGACACCCAGACATATCATTTGGTGTTTCTAATCACCGGTTGCCATGGTCTCGGGGTCCCCATCCAGAGAGCCTAACGGGATCTATGTAACCCGTGTTCTGGTTAGGGTTTTCATACCCTCATGTCAGGTCTTAGTTTGACTGACCCTGACCATTTTCCATCCACTACTTGCCCTCGCAAACAACACACGCTCTGGCAATCTACTTGGTTGGCATGCGTCGCACATGCCTCAACCAACACAATCTTTGGAGGTCATTACTTGCTCTAGTGGACGACCGCGTGTAGCAGATCAATCAACAAGATGCTCTGAGAACAACAGAAAAGGTAGGCCGTATCGTAGGCTTTATTCAACTGAATAATGTAGAATATCGCAATATAGGAAAGATGGTGGATACGAATACACATAACAAATAATACGAGAATTGTAAAATGAAGTAGAGTTCCAATGCATGACACCACGGTTATCTATAACTCTGCGCCTAACCTCAGCAGTTCTTGCCCGGTCTCGCCACCAGACTCGTGCAATGCTGCACGGAGAGAAATCCTATCTTGCGCACAGCGCGGGAGGCAATTAAACAAATACAGTTAACGTTAAAGAGAAGAAGATAATTCCAATAAGTTGCACGAATCTGTGGAATGGGGAACTTTGTGGTCAAAAGTGAATAGAGGAAATTGTGTTGAAGTTTGCCGCTATGATTGAAGTATCCGTTTTCTCAAGAGGTCGTCCAGGAGGTTGCAGAAATTCTTTTTGATTTTTTCCGACTTGCATTCAATTAAGGCACATGCCGATATAAGAAACAGAAACTTGGCGTTCCATCACATCGTTCCACAACTGGCTAATTTAATTTAAGTACAAAGGCATTCTACGTTCGATAATAAACTTGTCACAAATCGCGTCCGTCAGCTAATTTTTCAGTCTCATCGAACCGCGATCAAAGAAACCAGACAGGAACTGATCCAGCTTATGATGCTTCAGCTGTGTAATGTTGAACTAACAATAACGAACTAGCAATAGCTGCCTTTTCCCTAGAAGAATAAATACATCATAACACACACAAACGTCAGACTACACAATATGACATCAAAAAAACGGAATTCTACAAAAGCCTGACTTTTCAATTGGAATTTAAATGCACGACACTCATTGTCACCACACGAATTTCGCAGAAAACTGATATCAAGTTCAGACCTATCCAAATCACGAAGAAAAAACAACACTGACAAGGTGGTATGGACTTACATGGTTGATGCTGGTGTTACTGTATCCGCATTTGGTGGATCATCGCCACTTAGAGCTGACCGCAAGCCACAACAATTGGTCGGAATAAGGGCCTGTTTTCGCCGTGTTCCACTTTTTACTAACGTGGTTGAGCAAAGATCTGCCGAGCCCTTGTGAAACAGTTCACACTCGTAGCGATCCAAATCCACCGGAGTTGAAGGTCGCCTAGCACGTTTCGGACTGTTTGCTTGTGAGTCACAAGTAGCAGAATCGATTGGGAATTCGGCTTTTCGAGTTCGACGTGAGCGCTCAACAGAGGTACGACGGGAAAGTACACGTCTCGGTTGTTCCACACGAATCTGAATTGATGTGCTTGGGAATCTTAAGACGCATCTGCAAAAAAGGTGTTGAGAAACAAAAGGGAAAAACCGGCACAATATTGAGAGCAATACGCCCAATAGAGAAAAAAGTTCAAAACGTAAACCACGCATGCATTAGAATGCTTCTGTGATGCAATATATCGATATAATGTAAAAGTATCATGCGAACGGATGACAGTAAGTATGCAGTCAAGTTTGAAACGCAATAACAGCATTAGAGAATGCTGTACAAAGAACAATTCAGAAAAGCATAATTGTGATCCCCAATCAAATGGATAACTAAGATAATCCCAAGTCTCAGTGGTGAACAGTTAAATAACCATTTTGGTAGTAGTTCTGGTGAAGCCACACGAGCATTTTCCAAAATATTATATTATTATTTTCACACACCGTGTGCCAAACAAATCATACAATCATACAACAATCTCTATAAAAAAGAAAAATGTTCCACGGTTCGCTCGAGGGAACGATTCTGCTACTTGTCCAGCCAAAGCAGGTGAATTTTCTGAGGGAATTCACAAGCGGAGCTTTCAGTTAACCAAAGCCTGTTCTGCAGGGCAGCTGGGCAGCGTGCGAAAACCGCAATCTTTGGGGGGGGGGAGGGGGGCAGCGTTCATTGGATCGTACGCCATTTGGATGAGGTCAAACGTCCAAGGTGCCCAATACATCTAGATACCCAATCCAGCTCGTGACCACTACCACGACCAAGAATATGTCGTTCGTAAGCTTCTCCTCGTCTGGTTTGGTATCAGGAATTTTAGCCAACTCCCCTAAGAGAACTGCCAATGGTTCATCGACCTCGTTACGGCCCCGGATATTGGCTAAATAAGGGCATTCTAAAGCCTCAGTACGATCGCGTCTATGAGTATAGAGGGATCGTAATTTTGAAATAAACTTCTCGGGCACACCCTTCGTGGAAAGGCCGCTCGTTNATCCGTGATGCGTAAACCGGGTGAGATGTAGCTGCCCAGATAACAAAACTTATCCACCTCCTCTATTACTTCCCCAGTTAGAGTGAGGCTGGGTGCTGGATCAACCCAGTCTTGTAGTAGCATTTCACACTTTGAAGGTGCAAAACGCAAACCGAACATAGACACACTAGCACTCAAACTATCCAGAAAAGCTTGCAACTTACCTGGATCTTCACTTAGTAGCACAATGCCGTTTGCATCATCTAGATCAGACAGTCTACCACTTGGGAGTAAATCGATGCCGCTAATCTCGCACTAGGATAGGGCTGTTTCTATAATCAAATCTATAACAAAAGTAAATAGAAAAGGGGAGAGTGAGCAACCCTGTCGAACACCACTTTCCGTGGTGAACTCGGGCGAAAAAGTGCCGCAAGCTCGGACTCGGTTACGTCTATGAGTATAGAGGGATCGTAATTTTGAAATAAACTTCTCGGGCACACCCTTCGTGGAAAGGCCGCTCGTTTCCCGGGAAACCTTCATTTCAGATGGAGAACTGAAATCAACTAGGAGTATTTGCGCAGTCGCGGTGAAGGGTGATAGTCCAGATGCCGATGGGGGCCAGTTGAACTGAGCCTCAAAATGTTCAGCCCATCGATCAAGACGGCGTTGCTGATCCTGAATCAGTGTGCCATCGGATTCCTTAATTACCTCACCTACGCCTATTTTCCTAGGGCCCTTATTCATAATTAGATGGAAAAGATTGCGACTATTACCAATAACCGCAGCCTTCTCCATCTCTCTACACTTTCGTATCCACCACTTCTCACGGTCATTCCTCAGACTCTTGATGAGCTGGCGTTTAAGGGATTTGCGCGCTGTGTCAAACGTGGCATCAGGAGGAAGGTTTCTGCGGGCGTCCAGCGGGTCAGCCGAGGTCGATGAGATCCATCGTTCATGTTTCGAGCCTGCGCGAGGGTCTGACGTTGTATTTATTGATATTTGCATAGCTTCCTTTATATGCCTCCGATGTTCATTGGGTTGAACTGACAGGCGATCGGAGAGTTCAGCTTCGAAAACCGAGTTGAAATAATCATTGACATTGTACAGTAGGTTTCCTTTTCGGTGGTTTCTTTGCGGTTGTTTGCCAGGCGTAGGAAGAATTTGGTTCGTCACAAGGCGTGGTCTGTATCCACAGGTGTTGACCAGTAAGACCGGCAGTTTTTAATCGACCCTCTCCAGTAGTAACTGCTGGTGATGTGGTGTATTTGGATGCAGCGCTGCGAAGAGGTTGGCGGCTTCCATGTAGGGCGATGTCGTTTCCTGTGCGAGAAGTTCGTGCTTGGCAGAAACAATCCGTGATCCGCACACAGTTTGGTGCCTTTGAAATCTCAGTATGACCGGGGCTGGGTTTATAGGGTTGCGGTTGTTCAGTTCAGTTCCGTCTGAACAACCATTAACCATGCACTTTCGTGCGCCCGTTTTGGTTGCTGTCTTTTGGCTGCCCATTTGGATGAATAATAAAAGAAGAACAGGAAAGTTGAAGGTAGAGTCCAAGAATAAAATTGAGAACTCTAGTAAACTATGGCTGCAAAGAATTCGAGAAGATGCAAGAACGCCACGGTTTACGATACCCAGTCATATCAGTCAGTGTCTCTAACCATAGTATACAATACTCCCCAGTCAATAAGCCTAACGGGACCTACTTAGCCCATTCCCCTGGTCAGGGTTTTCATTCCCTTTTGCCAGGTCTCAGCTTGGCCACCCTTGACTTTATTCCACCCACAACTTGAATCGGCGAACATCGCTCGCGGTAGCAACCTGTTTGGTTGTGACATTGGTCACCGGCTCGATCGGGCATCGAAATGTATTAGGTACCTTGACGGCTGACCACGTCCGAAGGGCGTATTATCCGATGAATTGGACACCGGTTCCCAATGGACTGCAGTTTTCACACATCGCCCCACTGCCTTGCGGGTCAGGTTTTGACTAGCCAAAGGCTCCGGCTGTGAATTCCTCAGGAAATTTCACGTGCCTTGCCCCGGGTGACCTGGCATTATACGACCCACTTGAAAATCGTGGAACGTTTTTCTTTTTATAAATAATAAACCTTATATAATACATACAAGGTTCAGCGTCTCCAACCATCCAGTTACGGAGTCTTTTAGAATTCCATCCGGATGACTCTACCTAATGTCTCTGTGCATTTCTTCATGCCTCGTCTCTACGTCAGCTGGTGGACTCCACGTGGCTTCCTCCTGTCTACAGCTGCCAGTGCAAATAAGGAACGGTGCTATAGGCGAACGGTGGACATAAGCAATCCTATCCTATTGATCTGAATTTGATGCGTAGGTAAGTTCATTTTCAATGCATTCTCAAACAACCATCGATCTAATTCTAGATTACTAACCCGATTACCGCATCCCATCTAGGCCAGACTACGTAAGTATCGATTGTTCAAAACCACTATGTGACGGATGTATTCTACCCGCAAATTCAAAGTCTCACAACATTAGGGCAGAATTGATCGTACAGTGGTGCAGTATATTCGACTTTTTAACATCAGTGAAACGTCACCGACCAACCACCAAGTCTTTTGGACTCCAACCTGCAAGGCGGCGAAAAACCGCTCCACTTAATCAATCTGAGTATTTCTTCATGCCTCGTTTCCAGGTTATCCGTTAATCTCTAAGGGATTTCTTCCAAACCTTAGCAACCTTTGCGGAACTCTTTGTCTTCCGTTTCCAACCCATTCCCTTTACCCCTTCCTCCAACCTGTAATAGTCCCTCAAGCAAATTGGATGTCGCTCGCCAAAGGTCATTGCCAAATAGCACTGTAAGTGATTTACCACGGAATGGATTGCAGATTCTAAAGCCTCGTCAACCACTGAATCTGGGGGCCTTCAACGAGAGGACTTTGATGCAGCTAGGTCAACAAGCTTGTCTGGCTCTTACAATGGAATCCTTAGGAATCGATATTTGCTGCGTGTCGGAAACTCGGATCCAGGATCCTACTACTCTAAGCCACTTGAGCGCGCCAGATTTCTCGACGAGATACGTTCTTCGCGCATCAGGCGACAATGAAGCTCGTTCAGTAGGTCAGCGCGGGGTAGGTATTGTACTCAGTAATAGGGCGGAGTCCTCTCTTATCGATTGGATCCCCGTCAACAGTCGTTTATGTGCAGTGCGTCACCAGGGTTCAAAACGTAAACCACGCATGCATTAGAATGCTTCTGTGATGCAATATATCGATATAATGTAAAAGTATCAT